TCTATTGAATTATTTATCATTTTGTAGTTTTCATTTTTCTCTGTATTCTATTCTCACAGTGATCTGTAATCATTTGGCTTCTACTTAAGGGTATTACGAAAAAATTCACCTTCTTTTTCGCCATTCGATCACCAGTAGACTGGCTGAAAACATTATGTGACCCAACATCAGTGTCATGTATTCTCTCTTCTTTGTTTTTTTACTCCGTTGGTGTCCAATCAATAGTGGTTGTATTTGTCATTGTTGAAATATTTGTATTGATACGATTCGTTGATTGTTCAATTAATTTATCTTCATTTTCACCACCTTCCAAAATCGGCATAAGTTTAATTCATGATTGTCCTGTAGATGACATATCATCAAGATTTTGATCATTACTTGATTTCTTCATCAAAGGTATATTTGTTGATATTGTATTGATTTTATCCAAATCTCGTGAATCATTCGTGCTTATCATACGTGAATAACTTCAATCAGAGGCGGCGGAACGACTCTAATTTAGGGGAGGCTCAAAAGTTTTCAGGGAGTAATGGGAGAGTGAGATGAACGAGGAGGGGCGATTTTATACGTTTTCAACTCTAACTCGTATTAAAGAGATATCAGTTGTCCCGATATGTTTTCAACAGGGTTTATTTCGCATATCTTCTTTGTATAGGCAAACCATGTAATCTTGAAATTTCGTCAAAAGATTCGCCGTTATATTTGCGAATCTTCCATGATTTATCTTTTTTTGGTATTTACTAGATTCATTCAGCAAACGGAATTCCTCTGTTTGATAGCACAGGATACAATTCAATCATGTTTAAAAAAAGTATATGATCTGAAAGAGTGACCTTTCACCTTCAACCAAGCACCTGCCTTTGCTTCAATTTCTTGCATTTGACGATGAAATGAGTACGAGGACTTACAGAAAAATTTCGAAAGAATGATTCGTAGAAGTTGCTGGATTCTTTAAGACAACTGCATCACAAGGACCTGTTGAGTTGTTCTGAAAAGTTTTTAGAAAAGCGAAAGAAAAGATGTACGAAGTATTGTTACTGTCCATTATATTGGAAGTAATTAACACATCTCTAATGTATCTATTTCTTATTAGTCTCCGCACAAAAATTTTGGAAACTTGACTGTTTTTTGAAGAAACAAAATGTACTCTAGGCTAGCTTAATCGATTTTGAGCAGGATTAAATCAACGACTTACAAGATGCTACAATTTTTCACTCTTCTGAGTCGACTTTGCTTCTCTATTTTACCGAGGAAGCGTCTATTTGTTCACTTTTGATTCTTTAACGGCGACTTTTGAACAGGAAACAAATTACTTTGGTAGTATCATTTTACTCAGTAATGCTTTTTTATATACAAAGGTTGACTTTAATAATTATTAAACCATTTCTGGAGCGTTTATTCTACTGCTATGTTGAAGAATTCCAGTGTCTCGTACATCTTTAGTTTTTTCTCTCTCTAAATCGATTACAGTATGCCGAGAGAACATTTTTCTCTGGATATTGTCGAGAGTTTAATGGTACACCTTTAAAAGCGATTCAAGTTTTTATCAATTTTCCGTGCAAAGTTAAATGAAAAACAGATATTATTTCAAATATGTTTGTTAACTCCAATACAACCTGAAGTAGAAACCTTTCATACACCTTTCCTTTCCGCGTTCTAAAATTCATCAGAGCAAATCAATAGGATTTTTTTGATTGCTTTGTTAGAAACCACCAAAACACATTTTAAAAAAATTCGAGATTTTATCTTTTGTTTATGCAAAGATATATACAAAATAAGTTATATTTATAATATCTTTGGGATATTCAATATAAACTCAGAGTGAGATTCGTAAAAGTTTCTCAAACGTTGAGTCTCCTCAAGCATTCTGCTTCATTTTTTATGGGCGGCTTGAGCCTATCGGATACTAATCGCTCGGCAGTCTATGGCACTATCCAGCATCTAGCTGAACGTAATCTCGTTCAAAGAGTTTTCACTTACTAAATATAAGGTCAGGACGAGATTTGTAAAATCTTTACAAATATCTGAGCCTCCCCAAGCCTTCCTTCCCTTTTTAAGGGTAAGCTCAAGTCTTCCCAAGCCTAATGGCTCCGCCGCTTCTGACTTTACTCAATAATAAGTCATATTTTTCCATGAACCTTCCTCAAATTATAAGATTATTATTTCTTTATCATTTCAAAATCTTTCAAAAGTCAAGCAGACAAGATAACAAAACTTTTAATGATAAATACAAAAATACTACGGCACCATAAACGTGTTCCCTACGTTGGCTATTCCTCTGCATAAAAGAGTCACTAGTAATAAGGTGTTAAACTGTTTAAAAAAAATACAATCATATATGTCTACGATCTAAAATCAAAATGAATATTACTTTCAGAGAAAAACCAAACATCACTTTTTTCAAACCGCGTTCTCTAATCAAACACGAGATCACTATGAGATCTGTAAACTTTTTTCAAATATCTGTGCCTCCCAAAGCCTTCCCAATTTTGTTTTAGGGGAGGCTTGAGCCTCCCCAGGCCTAAGGGCTCCGCCGCCTATGTATTTGGCAATGAATCACGAAGAGAAAAACAGACGCGTATATTAACTTGATAATCTATGATGAAGTTACAGTAGAAATTGTTCATTTCTCGTAATAAAAGATGAGAATGAACGTGTCACACATCTCTATTCTGCTTCAAGTTTTATCTGATGTCTATTATCCATTTCCAGAAAAAAGGCGGTTGAGCATTTTTTTAATAAATTTTTATAGAAACTAGATAGAGAGGTGCGGTTTTCACCATTACAAAGACAAGGCCGGGGCACATAATATCTGCTAAAATCATATTGGTTGATAATGAACCAATCAAATACATTGTCAGTGGACATCTTGAACCCGTCATTCTAGAGTCATTTCATAACTTTCCTGAATTATGAATTTACTTGTTTTATAGGCAAAATTGTTCTCTATCGATCTACACAAAGCTGACCTTTCTAGCTAGTCCCATTGAAGAGTTATAAGGTTTTTCCTGAGACACCTAATTTTAGCAAATTGACCTTGGATCACCCGGGAAGTCGTCTAGGATGGGACCATTCCTCATTCTGAGTCGAATGGTGATGTTTGTTTTTGGATTCGAAATGATCTGACACTGTTATATCAATATTTTCGAAATATCGACTCATTTGATATATAGCGGTGAGATAACCCTAGGATCTCACGGTTAGCAATTCTAAGCAATTCAAGAAATTCTAAAGACACACACCAAGAGAAGACTAACAATTATAAGGCAACATATAATTATCGGAATTCAGGGAAATTAGGGATATTCAAGCAAATCAAGCAACTCGGAGAAATTCAAGGAACTCAAAGAATTCAATAGACCTATAAATAGTAAGAGATATAAGGGGTGATACGTCCTGGAATTATGGAGATTCAAGGAAATTTAGGAAATTAGAGCAAATCAAGCAACTCAGAGGAATTCCTGGAATTCAAAAAATTCAATAGACATATAAAGAGTAAGAGATACACGGTGTGATACACCTTGGAATTATGGAAATTCAAGGAAATTTAGGAACTTCAAGCAAATCAACCAACTCGGAGCAATTCAAGGAATTCAATGAATTGAATAGATATATAAATAGTAAGAGATATAGGGGGTGATACAGCCTCGAATTATGGAAACTCAAGGAAATTTAGGAAATTCAAGCAAATCAAGCAACTCAGAGGAATTCAAGGAATTCAAAAAATTCAATAGACATATAAAGAGTAAGAGATACACGGTGTGATACACCTTGGAATTATGGAAATTCAAGGAAATTTAGGAAATTCAAGCAAATCAAGCAACTTAGAGGAATTCAAGGAATTCAAAGTATTACACAGACATATAAATAGTAAGAGATATAGGGTGTGATACACCTTGGAATTATGGCAATTCAAGGAAACTTAGGAAATTCAAGCAAATCAAGCAACTCGGAGCTATTCAAGGAATTCAATGAATTGAATAAATATATAAATAGTAAGAGATATAGGGGGTGATACAGCCTGGAATTATGGAAATTCAAGGAAATTTAGGAAATTCAAGCAAATCAAGCAACTCAGAGAAATTCAAGGAAGTCAAAGAATTCAATAGACATATAAATAGTAAGAAATATAAGGGGTGATACATCCTGGAATTATGGAAATTCAAGGCAATTTAGGAAATTCAAGCAAATCCAGCAACTTAGAGAAATTCAAGGAATTCAAAGCATTCAACAGACATAT